CAACTCTCTGTTCTCAGCCCACCCTGATGGTTTTCCTCCCATCCGATCCAAGCATCATCAACTTTTCCTTGCTCTTCTGTGGCCACCTCCTTAAAAGGACCGCCAGTCCTCACCTTTGCCCTTTTTCTAGTTCATCCACCACATATCAGCCCGAGAGATCTTTCTAATACAGAAATCAGATCACCTTACTTCCTACCTAAAACCCTCTGATTACTTCCCACCGTGACTAAACTCTTACCATGACTTATCATTTCTTGTATGATCTGACTTTGACCTATTTCTTGGACTTCATCTTGTTAGCCTCTCTACCTGTTTGCTATCTTCAACCCCACCGGCCGCCTTTTCATCCCTCAAACTTGCTAAGCTTCTTTGTGCCTCGAGGCCTCTGTACTGGACATTTCTTCCATTTGGAATTTTCCTCTGTTCCCACAGATGCCTCTTTTCATTGTTTCGATCTCAACTCCAAAGCTATCTTCTCTGGGAGGCCATTCCTGATGACCCTAAATAAACCACTTCCCTTCTTCCCTCCCGTCACACTGGTGTCCCGTTTTATCCTTGTCACAGCACAGATCAGTACTTTGAATTATCTCCTCTATGTGTATTTGTTTCCATGTTTATTGTTTGCCTGCTGCCTGTTGGTGCTAGAGACTTTGTCTTTCTTATTCATTGTGGCATCTCCAGTACTTGACACCAATAAGTGACCAGTCAATAGTTGTCAACAGACAGACGGACTTGAAATTCTGGGAAGGAATAATTGAAATCTGGATAATCCAGGGGAAATTCGTGAGGATTGTTACAATCCTTTTCACTTTTAAGATTTGCTCATTCAAGTCATTCTCAAAATACTTTCAGATTTAATTAAATACCAGCCCCTTTAGAGTGGAGGGCAGACACTTCCCAATACCAAAGACAAAAAAGAGTTAAAGACCAACATACCAGAAATACCCCCACTGCTATCAACAAAAGGATGAAAAAGATGAAAACAATGTTTTGTTTGTATCATCCAAGATTCTTCCAAAGGAAAAAAAAAAAAAAACCTTCAAGTTTCTCCATTTTTTTCTACTGTGGAAGTTAGAAAGAGAGAAGAAGGAGGTTAAACTTCTTTTCATTTTGTGTATTAAGTCTTCCTGCTATACCAAAGGTCACTGATTTTACACCCTGTTGTTAGATCAGATACTGAGCTTATTTCTCAAATGGTTCTTTTTTTATGGATGGTGCAATACTGTTGATATATACTGAGTGCTCATGCAAGTTCTATATCTAGATTAGTATTTCTCATGAGTAACTACGTTAACTTATTTTATGACCGAGCACCTGAAAAGCTGTGTGTTTTAACACTGCACATTCCTATGAGGCCTACCTGTGCTCCTCACAACTTCTGTATCAGGCATTAGCAAACGATCTTTTCAGGGCCTCCGTTTTTCCATCTATAAAAAGGAGAAAACTCACGGAAGGACATGATGCACTTCTTCGTTAGAAAACTTTTATGACGTGGTATGAAACATTGAAGTATCACGGAAGGAGGTGCAAACTGGAGATTAGACCTTCGAAACTTAAATTCGACAGACATTTATTTCATACTCATTGTAGACCAGATCCTTAAGGCATTAAATGCTATGATTCTGTAAATTGAAGTGATTTTCATTAGTATTCAGAGATGGAAGTAGTTAATCGGACCAAAAGCGGGTATAAGGGGGTAAAAGAGCACTGAGTTGGGATCATAGATCCTTGCCCCTTCCTTTCTTGTTTGTATGTAACTTTAGCCAAGCACCTAACCTACCTGGAGCTTAGTTTGATTAGGCAATGGGATGTTATGGGAACAGAGGGAAAGTAGAACAGGCCTCTGGAAGAGCAGAAAGTGGATGGTGGTTTCGACCCCAACGTCTCCCCTAAGGAGGACCTCTGCTTCTCCCTGTCTTGATGCCCACTTGCCTCATTTCTTCCCAGTAGCTTCCTTTATCTCAGTAGTATTCAAATATGTGAGGCCAAGCAAATTCTGATTAAAAAACCTGTTCCCATGGAACTGGGGAGAAAAATGGTTTGCACCTATGCCATCCTATTGCATAATTTCTGCTTACTCATATCGCCGGACCCTCCTAACTATGTGCCAGCATCCTTCTCTAGCTGCATCAGTGTGGCAGGGAAATGGGTGAAGCAGGCTGGGAACAGAAGAAGGGAGCAGGGAGTGGTTACAATTGTGGCCAAACCGGGAAGCTACATGCACTGGCTAAGGGGAGAGAGCTCTAGCTAATTGTGGCTACGTGGGCCTGCAGCATCATCAGTGCCAGATTTTCCAGATTTTTCAAGGCAAGCTGAAAATCCATAATTGTGCATGAAGTTTTCTGAGTGTTACATGTTAGCAATTATTAATTTTTGAAATGTTGACAACATGAGGTTCAAACAATATACGCCTAATATATATCGAGCTGATCCATGGGCAGCGGCCAATTTGCAGCTTCTAGAATCTAGAGTTCAGATAGAGTCATGACCGTTCAACCTTTGTTCTGGATTTTAGCTACATGGTGTGTGTGTGTGCGTGTGTGTGTGCGTGTGTGTGTGTGTGTGTGTGTGTGTGTGTTCACATTCCTGAAATAGAATCTGATTGGCTCAGCGTACCTCTTTCGTGCCTGAGTTTGTCACAGAATTTGGCTGCGTTTGGGTCAGGTGTTTCTAAGGGCTACTCTGTCAGCAGGGACCTTGACTGGGCCAACTTCCATTTCAGAGGCTGTGGCCTTGGTAAGCTGTGTACCTGACATGTCTACTGAAGACCTAGAATTTCCTCCTCCATGAATGAATGTTTCAATACAATGAACCTTATTGGTTTCTCCTAACACAAGTCTGTTTCTTGATCAGAAAAGGCCATGTTCCATTGACATTTAGCTAGAATTTTGGTAAAAATGTGGGTGGTGACGAATATACTATATTGGTATTAATGGCCCTCAGAAGGAAGCTTTGATTTACACCAAAATGTTGGTGACTTCTTATTTAAAAAAAAAAAAAATCTGTTTACAAATTACAAGCCCTAGAGTTAGAAGAGGCTTTAACCTGTTTAAGCCGCCCTTTCTGTCCTTGAATACTCTTTTATGGCATCCCTACCATGCTGGCATCGCCCATATTGTGAATGCTTCTCTTTACCAGGGAGTGCACTTCTTCCAAAGGGAGCCTCTTGTATCCTGGGATGGGCCTGGTGATTCCTTTTTTTTTTTTTTTTTAATCGCACAGTAACCAATCCACCATAGGCAATCAATACAGCATACACTTGTGGAATGAATCCACTTACGGATTCATTCTTATGATATTTACTGAGTGCATATGATGTGCCAGGCACTGCTCTTGACCTTGGGACAATATCAGTGAACAGAACAAATCCATGTTCTTGTAGAGCTGAGGTAGCCTGGAGGTAAGGTGTGGTGAGAGAGAGACAGTAATTTTTTAAAGTAAATTATGTAACATGTGACAAGTGATAGAGGCAATGAAAAAAGAAAAAGTAGAGTTGAATGAAGGGGATGGGGAGGGAGGAGTGAGTAACAATTTTAAAAAGACCCAATGGGGTGGACCTCATTTTGAACAAAGACTTGATGTCAGCAGCATAAAATGTTTCCCAATCTATCTTCCTACCTCCATGTAGAAATAGCTCCCTTTTTACCTCCCAGACCTGCAGAATAATAATAATAATAACAGCTTAACAGCTGTTGAATCCTAGCAGAGATTCTAAGCACTTTCTCTATAGGAATTCATTAAATCCTCATAACAACCTTAAAAGATAGCTACTATGTTTATCCCATTTTCATAGGAGTAAACTGAATCATAGCAAAGTTAAGCTGGCTCCTATCCTGAAACTAGTACGAGGAGCAGGTGGTACACAAACCTTGATCTTCTGACTCCAGGCTTTGGCTCTTAAGTCCTCAGCACAGCTGCCTTGAAGACTTAGCTCAAGTCCCTTCCAGAAGACTGGCCCCCTCAAGCTTTTCTTTCCCAGGCACGTGCCTGGGCCCAGTACCTTTCATTCTCTGTTGATTCCTAGGATGAGATCTAAAATCTCTTGATCCTGGCGTTTGTAGGAAGAATACTCTAGCTTTAGCTAATGTCACTGGACAATCGAGGCACCCAGAGCTCCGTCACCTCCTCCCCACGGCAAGCATTCTGACCAATGCCACTTACATAGGTTTTGTAAAGTTACAGTGATCAAAATACACACGAATTTTTTTCTCAGTTTTGACATAAAAAGACATACATACATCTTTTCTTCAGCAAAGGTCACTGTGGTTTCAGAGCCTAAGTGTGATGTGTGAGCATGCAGCATTTTTAAAGTATTTCCTGCTCAACCATAGGGTGAAATTATGCAAGCCAGTGAGTCCTGAAAACAGCTGCATCAAATTTTTAACACCTGCAAAAAAAAAAAGTTTTGAAAATAATTTTACATTGTTTTTAATTTGGGGATTGGTTGGTTTTCTGTTGTTTCAAACTGTGAAGGACCGTCCAATTCATTAAACCTTCAGTTGGAAATAGAATTTGGGAGCTTTAAAAGAGTTTTGCAAATCTAAGGGAGAGACTTCACTGGAATTCTATTTCCATGAACGCACTTGAAAACAACTTCTCCTGGAACGGGCCTGGGGACTGTTCCTTAAAATCACAACAAAAGTCCGGGGCTCTAGTTCTCTAGTGAGCCTAAGAATCACTCCCTTGGCTTTCTGGTGGTTTCCTCGTCGTGGGGGGTGGGGTGGGAAGGGAGGAGATCCCATCCTGGGGTGGGGGTGGGGGATTGTCTCGTCTTGGGTGAGGGAAACACAGCCAAGAGCTCCCTTGACCTGTTGCATCCTCCCGGGCTTTTCAAGCGAAAGAGTTGGATTTCCTGAAATTGTTGAACTGGATGTAAGTGCAGGCGCCCCCTTCCCCTTCTTCCCGCTCCCCAGCAGCGTGCGAGTAGCTGCTGGGGAAGGGGAGTGGGATAGGGGGAGGTGGGATGGGGTGGGGGCCGTTGGAGAGATACCGAAGCAGAAAACAGGACAGGAAAAGTGGGAGGAGGAGGAGGGGAGGGAGGAGGAGGAGGCCGTAAGACGAGAGAGGAGGGAAACGTGTCACCAGCCCGACTCCGGGAGCTCCCGCGCCGCCTCGTTTGTTGACTCGCGCTGGAGAGGACTTGAGGCTGGACCGGACCCGTGGAGGGCAGAGCTGGGAGAGAACGGAGGAGGGACAGCTGGGCAGAGCGCGGTGGCGAGAGCCATCCAGGTCGCTCTTTTCTCTCGGGTGAGAAAACTTTCTCGGGAAGACCGGAAAGTTTTTCCTGCGCGCGCGGAGTCTGGGGAGGAGGCGAGCTGCGGGTGTGCACGACGCGAGGTGACTCACTGCCGGGACCCCAAGGGGGTGAGTGGGGAAGTCCCAGGGAGGGGCTGAAGTTGTTGGCTCAGCAGTGGTACAGGATTGAGAACAAAATCGCCGGGCAAGCCGGGGACAATCTGGTGGGGCACGGGAAGCGGGGGGGCGTAGGGGGGAGGCTTCATGAAAGCGTCACATCTTGGGGTAACCGGCTGGGGACCCCCGCGAAGTTGAGGATTTTAGGATCGGACGCTGCCGGCAGGCGTAGAGGACCGGACTTGAGACCTCCCGGGCGGGGAGGGGTGTAGCCGCGCCCCGCGTCTGCGACTTAGGGTGGGCGAAGCCCCGCTGTAGGGTGGCATGTGGGATGCTGACGATGGTGGAACCCAGGCTGAACCAAGAGATCGAAAAAGAAAGTTTGCTTGTCTCTCTTCTTCTCCCTCCACCCGAAGGGCAAGTCTAAAGAGCTGCCCCACTCCGGCGAGGGCGATTCGGCGCCCCGAAACAGCCCATCTTTTCCTGCTGTCCTCTTTCTCCGGAGGGAGGCGTGGGAGGGGACGGCAGGGAAGGCAGCCGCTTTGTCCCGCGCGCCGCTCCGCGGGCTGGGGCGGGCTGGAGCGCAGCGG